AATATATGTTATTACATAAAATTATATATAATTAATGTTTTTATATTAATTGTTTTTATATACCCGCACACACACACACTTATAAATGTGTGTGTGTGTGTGTGTATGTATTTATATACAGTACTGTGCAAAAGTCTTAGGCCATTAGTATTTTTACCAACAAAAAAAGGTTTTAAGTCAGTTATTTCTATCTTTTGCTGTAGTGTGTCAGTAGGAAATATCAGTTCACATTTCCAAACATTCCTTTTGCCATTAATTGTAATAATCCAGTGAGATTTTTGTATGTTTAGGAGTCTGAGTGAGTTGTCAAAAATAATGTCATAAATAGATTTTCTTTATCAATTAACTTCTATTAACTAAAATAAATCAACATTTGGCATGACCATCCTTTGCGTTTAAAGCAGCTTTTGCCCTCGGTGCACTTGCACATAGTTTTTACCCAGCAGGCTTTCTATAATGACCCCAATGTGCTGTACATTTCCCTGCACCGTTATGACGATGGCAACTTTTTCCCAGGCAGCGGAGCTCCTGAGGAGGTAACAACATTTCAGTCACTGTGAGAATAGTGGCCTCCTGTAGTCACATGACCAAAATTGTCTTGTTTTTTTTTTTAGTGGAAACATTCCAGTGTCGTTTTTTTTTGTCTGAACTGTCTCATGGGTTCCTCTCTAGGTGGGTGTAGGTCCAGGAGAGGGCTTTAATGTCAACATTGCCTGGACAGGTGGAGTGGAGCCACCTATGGGCGATGTGGAGTATCTAACTGCCTTCAGGTGAGATCTGCACTTGCTGTCTGTCAGAGAGAAATAGAGAAAATGTAAGAAATCTTATACAAAATACAAAATATAGCCCTACTTTCAGCATTAAAAATGTTTTTTTTTTAGACCCCATGAAATGGTTTGAGGATTTTTTTTTATTATTTATAATTTATTTTATTATAGTATAATTTATATCAGTATTTGGTGTGACCATCCTTTCTGTTTAAAACAGCTATAGTCCTCGTGCACTTGCACGTAGTTTTTCAGTAGCTTTGCAGGAATGTTTCTTCAAGTGTCTTGGAGACGTTGCCACAGTTCTTCTGGATTTAGTCTGTCTCAGTTTGTTCTGTTTCTTCATGTCGTTCCAGACAGACTGGATGATGGTGAGATCAGATCTCTGTGTGGAGCACTGGCTGTCGTCGGACTCCTTGTGCAAACAAAAATCTCACTGCATTATTACGATTAATGGCAAAAGGAATATTTGGAAATGTGAACTGATATTTCCGACACACTACAGCAAAAGATAGAAATAACTGACTAAAAACCTTTTTTTCAGCATGCTCCTGGCTCTGTGCGTAGGTTTCGGCCATCTCACTAAGCAGTTGATGAAGCTGGCTGGCGGCCGTGTGGTTTTGGCACTGGAAGGAGGTCACGACCTCACCGCCATCTGTGACGCATCCGAGTCCTGCGTGGCTGCATTGCTTGGAGACGAGGTGCCCATCATTCATTCACACGCATCTGAACAGTACATGATAGGATTATATTTGAGCTGCATAACTCAGTGCTTCTGTTTTAACCCTTCTGTTCTGGAGTCTCATTGATAAAACAAAAGGTTAAAGCTTAAATAATATTTGCCTGATTGGTTTTAAATAGGTCAGAGGAACATATTTGAACAATTTAAAGGGTAAATAATTAGTATTATTATAATTACACATACATTATTAGGGTCTCTGGGACCCTCAACATAAAAACAGCAAGGTCAATATTAGCAGAACAGGAGTTTTTAATAGTGTTCCTATTTATGAAATAAACAAATAATTTTTTTGTGTGCTGCAGTTGGATCCTGTACCACTGACAGTGCTTCAACAGAAACCGTGTCCAAAAGCCACAGCCTCTCTAGAGAGGGTCATTGAGATTCAGAGTAAGTAAAACTGAAGAAAACTCTACTCTTAATTTCTACATTAATTCATTCATTCATTATGTTACTTCATATGAAAGTGTGTTAAATATCAGTATTGTGGTAATGGATTTATTCAGAAATGTCTTTAATGGACATTTTTTTTTAAGATTTTAGAATTTGATATATATTAATTTTAAAGATCTTATATAATTATTAGCAGTTTTCTATAAAGCTTATTTGTTTATTGTGCTGGCATGGCATTAAAAAAAATCATTATTTATTTAAAATAAATTTTTAAAAACAGTATTGAGCAATTTTCTTTTAGTGTAATTTAGCTACTGTTATAACTTTTATTAATATTTGAATTATTTTTATATTTTCCATTTTTATTTTAAATAGTCATTTTTAGAATTGTATATTTTTCGAATTTTTAAACTAAATTAAAATCAGAAATGTTGCCTTGGCAACTAGCTGAAATAAAAAGTTTAATTTTTAATTTTATTCCAGTTAGCGTTTATTTTATTTCAAGTGATGAAATTGTTTTTTAATGGTTTCAATTTTGGTTTTCATTTTAGTTAACTATAATACCCCTGGGATTGAGGTCTTGATGACGTAAGGATCTTTATCATTATTTACCTTCTCATGATCTGTAGGTAAACACTGGACGTCTGTGCAGAGGTTGGCTCCTACAGTGGGCCAGTCTCTACTGGACACTCAGAGACGGGAGAAGGACGAGGCAGACACTTTGACCGCCATGGCCTCTCTCACTGTGGACAACGATCAGCAAAAGACCTCCACAGAAACCAGCAGGTACTGCCACTCGAGTCGAGTAGAACCTGTTGTCATATACACCTCCGCTGTTATGTAGAATGTTTAATACATAATTTTACCCTTCATTAACCATTAACCAATCACTCCTTCCTCAGATCAGCAGAGGAGCCCATGGAGGAGGAGCCCGTGTTGTAGAAGACCGAGTACAGTGCATCACTGCTCCAACCTTCTTGTCCACGCGTGCTTGGCACTGGTCACGCCTCATGTTCCTCCTCCCAGCTCTTTGATTGGTTCCCTCGGTCCTTCACTCATTTCCAGGTGCTTGACTGACACATTCACAGCCCACCCACTTTCGCTTTTCTGAGGTTAAAGCATAGCAAACTGTTGCCGAAAGGGGATGACAAGGCATGATGGGTACTTACAGGACCACTCCAATGAGGGTTGCGCAGCTGGAAAGGCCGAACAATGGAGTGCTCTTCAGAGAGAGGCCTTTGATTTCATTTTCTCATTGTATTGAACTGAGGACGTAAAGAAGAAAATGCAAAAAAAAAAAAGAAGAAGGGGAAAACATCACGACAGCACAGGGATGTTGTCGCTCGGGGGGGCGGCGAAAAGCTTTGTTTTCTGTACAAAGTATAATGTACAAAGTTCCAAAAAAAAAAAGCCAACAAGCAGCAAAAATACTTCAGCACAAAACACACATATACACTCATTCACAAGCAACACGGTTCCCAAAAGAGGAGCCTTCGAAACACCTTTTGCAGACAAGTATACTCGTTTACACTGTACCGTGTCGATTATTTGGTATACTTGTTCATCTGTATAATAGTCTGTTATGAAAAGCACACAAACCTACGAGAAATATAAGTATAAAATATATATATATAAATATACATACAAACATATATATAAGCATATATATGTAGTTTTGTGTGTACCGTATACACATTTGAACATACAAAAAATATATAAATACTTTATATCCCCTATGGAACATTTTCTTATCAGCTGTGGTTGTACATATAGTAAAAGAGCCTGCAGACTTTTATCCAGAAGTGAAAGAATGATGGTTAGCCTTTTCTCCCAGAAGCATTTCTTGTCTCTTAGAGAAAACAGTACTTTTTTGGAATATACGGCTTTGCTATAACATACTCGCACATAAACGTGAATAACGGCAACCCATCCGATTTAAGACAAAGGTGTAAAATACGAAGAGAGGATTTTCAAAGCGTCCATCTCAACTTTCGGTGGAGAACGAGGATAGACGCATTGTGGTAATGTCTCAAGAAAGACTTTTTTTTTTCCAAGAACTTGGTGCCTTTTATACTAAGGAAAACATTTAACAACACCAATACTTAACGAATCGTGACTCCTCGGACTTCACTTTCATTGATTTGTTTGTTTTTCAAATTGCCTTAAATTTTTCAAAGAAAATTAACTTTAGCCATGAACGACGGAGAGCACAAAATGATTACTATCCTCCTCCTGCCCCACTTTCTTTCCATTTCTCTCTTTAGTTTTCTTTTTTTGGGGGGATGTAAGTGTTGTGTTCTTGGTAAAAGGTTCTGATACTTTTTTTTATTTTACATGTTAACAAAAGAACAAACGAAAGAAATTCAGCGATTGCTTAATTTATCAGTCCTGTGCCGCGGACTAGCACATGACGTGATTGTTTGGAAACACTGCTGATGTTGTGACCAACTTGTTTGTTTTCTTCATTTTAACGTCACTTTCCTTTGTCCATTTATTTGATTGGCTCCCTTACACTCTTTTATTTGAAACTTGTTTTATTTGACTTTATTTCCATTGGCGAGAGAGTGTTAGCGGTGACTTTTTCATTAAAACATTTCCTTTTTTTTGTACAAAAATGTAAAAGAAAACAAAAAAGTCTGTATCAGTGTTAATTTCGTCATTTGATTTGAAGTATTCTCTGATAAGGAATGTACAGCGTGCTACAGATATTATCAATGATGTTGATTTATGTCACTGTGCAGTGCATTTGGCATTGGCCTTTTTCAGGATTTAAGGATATTTTTTTCCGGCAATAAAAGTGACTACCACTTTTTTTGTTTAACACTAAAATACTCTGCAAACTTTTGGTTACATTTTCGACATCTTTTGATTTAGCTTTTATCCTCTGGATACGGTTAGTTTTCATTAGACTGACTAGTATTGTTCATAACTGTTGACAGTTAGTCGTCTAATAGCTGTATGCTGGCTAATCACTTGTGCACTTGTGGATGAAATGCAATGGCTTGTTTATGACCCTGAAATAACAATCCTTCATTACATTTTCACTGTGTGACAACAGCTTTTTGGGGGCCAAATTCGATGTAATCCGCTGCGCCTTTATTTAACGTCACCCTCTTCCTTTAGCAGTGTCACAGAAGTCTGAGAGGTGACGACGTGTCTAATGGCAAACACTTTTTTAATGAGACTGAACCGGGCCTCGGGCATCTTGCACTAATAACTACACTGTAGGTCCGAACCTAATTGCGTTTCTTTTTTTTACTTTCGGTTCTCAGACGCAAATTGAGGCATTAAAAGCAGAGCGAATTATCTCCGCAAATGACGTGTGAACTCTCGCCAGCGTTTTTCTTTGTGTGCATTCACTGATTCACCGATGAACTGTTGACGTTGAAACGTCAGAAACTTCGCTGCGCATTTCTCGACTCTGCTCTCTTTTGATTTATTTATTTGGAGTCAGAAATGATTAGTTGCGTTGCTTATGGATCGATGTTTGTCTCATTGTAAATCAATGAAAAATTCGACAGCCTCTGGGCAATAACTTAACTTTTTTAAAAGATATATTACAATAGCTAAAAAGTGAACGGCCAGTTTTTTTCGCGACAACAACAGTCCTCTGTTTGTTACGTCACCATCTGATAAAGTATTTCTACGTGCTGTTTTTACTCTGTTGAAACACTACCGTCACCTTCAGCTGTTCGTTCTGTCTCTAACCGTTGACTTGCTTTCGCGTGAACTGCGGTTAAAGAGAAACAGGAAACCCTTTGTGAAAAATCAGGCTGACACTAGCCTCTGTACGTAGATACTGTAATATACACTAAGAGAATTTCCCTCTTCTATGTGGCTATGGGATGTGCTGTCTGAATCAGGAACTGCTGTGACCAGGTTTCGTAACGTTTGGATGTAGATCACCAACCATTTGTGCAGAGTTTTGTATTTTCACCCTATATGGTGTCAAACAGTTTATTGACCGTGCAGTTGGTGGTGAACGCTTTTTCTCCTTGTCCTTTCCGTTCCTTTTATACTTTTCTGGATGAATCGGCTGACCCTGAGAAGTCCCTTTTTGAGACCTTATCCTTCTCTTTGGGTGCGTGGGGGTTGAGCAATACATAGAGAGGGGAAATAATCGCTCAGATGTAATACAGTATGACGCTTGGCGCTGTTCGTTTTCGATGGATGTTTTCCAACACGGTCTCTTTTGCAACAATCTTTACACAAAGAAAACAACGTCAACGGCGTGAACAGGGCCTTACGATGGACACCGGGAAACCTCTGTATGTGTAAAAGACATCGACATTCGCCGTGGAAGATAGCTTTACTGTCTCTGCCACATATTTTGCTATTGGGTAAATATGTATATTTATTGCTAATTCATATGTTGTGTATATGTAGTGACCTATGATCGTCGAGGTTCAGAGAGTGCTTGTATATTTTTTTGACTTGTTTGAAAGAGAGGTTGCGTCTCCTTCACTGTCTCTTCATTTCTTTGCTGTTCTACATCACTTGTGATTGGGTGTTTCAATTTGTGAGATCTTTCGACCTTGAATTTTTAAGATCTTTTTTTCTCTCTCTCGCTCTCTACTCTCCTCTCTTTCTTGTCTATCTTCTGGTCATATTGATATGCAGAAGTTATCTGAAAGCACATTCCCTGATTTATTGTGTTCTTTCAATGCTTTCATGTTGCGACAATACAAAGGTGTGTATACTAACTGCTACACACGTGTATATAGGGTGCATATATGTGTACACGTGCAATACACGCTATTTGAGCAATCTATTACTGTGACTATTAATCATTAAAAATTGCTGTCCCTTTGAATCCTGCTGTTTCTTTGTTTGTTTGTTTTTTCTTCCAACTTCTTTAAATAACTGCTCAACATATACAGGGAGATATTTGAGCCAGTGGCGGTACAGATACAAGACATTTTTCTTACTGTTTTATCTTCCTGCAGTGTTGTCTAGCTGTGTATGCTCTGCATTTCATCTTAAATGGATTAGAAAATCAATGCACGGATGTTTGTTTGGTTTTTTTTTTAAGCAAAAATCCTCATGTAGTTAGGCACATTTTTTCATACAGCTTAATTTATGTATTTAATATTTTAGTGATTCTTTAAAATAATTAAATCACTAATAATTTGTAATAATATATTACTACATTTGCATTTTGATTATATTTATAATTTATATAAAATATATAATTACTTTAATAATAATTACAAATATAATCTTTGTTAATACTCTTATTTCTATTTGAAAAATATTTGTAATGTATATGGAAATCTTTTTTTTTTTTTACTGTAGACAAAATAATCACATTCAAAAATGTGCATATTAAAAGACAAGAGTGTGAGGTGCAAGTTTAGCCCAGAAATCATGTGACGATTTATTTGTTTTATTGTATTTATGTATTTTTCATGGGAAAGTCCAGTGAAGAAAAATTGTGGGGGAAAAAATATTTTTATTATTAATTTAAAATATATATAATTAATAATAAATTAAATAGGCTATTTGAAAAAATTACAAACTACAGTATTTGACAGTATTACGGTTTGTTCTTTTAAAAAATACTGATCAGAGAACTTCGTAATTCTACTGACAACATTTTTTATTTTCGGGTTTATACATAGATCTAAAAATACTTTTATGGTGGGTAGAAAAAAAAGAGTTCAATATAATAGGTTTTTAGACATTTACACAATTTTTATTTTTCACTGTATAAAAGGGTTTTTATACTTGAAAATATATAGCTGCCTTTAAGGGGGTCCTTTGCCAGTGGGACCATCATATGTGGGGGTCTGGGGCAACAAAAAGTTTAAAAGCCATGATTGAGGTCACAGAAGGTAAAAACAGGCTCCTCTGTGTTTTCAACCAACCTTGTGCATAAACCAGGAAGATGAGTAAGTGAGAAGTGGGCAAATGAGGGCGTGTAGTACGTTGTAGTAAGATATTCATGATGTAGGTAGGCTAAGACTCCATAGTAAAGTGGGCGTGGCTTCGTTTGCAGCGGCGGGGGTTGCGTCACTTCATTCATTCCCGCGGAACGCCTCCTCGCGCTCCCTCCCGTGCTGACGCGGCTGCGCGTGTTTACGTGAGGCGACTGCTCCCGTTTCCTGGCGGAGAAGATGGCGGCTCCTGGACCAGGGGAGTATTTCAGCGTCGGGAGCCATGTCTCATGCATCACCTGCCTGGGGCAGCGCCTGCAAGGAGAGGTCGTCGCTTTTGACTACCCGTCCAAGATGCTGACTTTGAGTATCCTTTTGTCGTCTCGGCTTGTCATTGAATCATCGGGATCCACAACTGCAAGAGGCCTGGTCTGGGGGTAAATGCCAAAGACATTTTCACCACGGTGAAGACAGTCCACTCAGCGTTCAGTTCCGTGTTTAGCGCATGCTAAGTCAGGTGGCGCGCACTTGAACCTTCGATTGGTTACCGCATTTTAATCTCGTGCTCTTTAGTTCATAACGTTACACCCCCTCGATAACACACATTTGGACTCGCACAGCATGAGTTGTTTTTAAGTAAAGTAAGGTAGTGTTTTATAATAGTAATTACTTCTCGTGTTCTCGCATAGAACATCTGGGATTTTTAAGCGTGCGCTGTAATATGGGAATTTCAGTATTGAGAATATAATTATATGTCTAGTTATTGGTGGATTCTGCTCATCTGTGTAGATGTCAAATTGCCATTCTTTTAGTTGTGGAGATTTTGATTCATCCCAGTGAGTCGAATCTTTTGAATCGGTTCGCTGGCCATTTTTTTGTGTGTAATTCAACTTTTTTTTTTTTTTTTTTTTTACGTGTTTTTTTAAATAAATGTCTCATTTTT